CCCGCCAGCCACGATCACCTCGCCTGGACGGAGGATCCTCCTTCTGTTCCCTAAAATATTATGTTCAATTTCCAGATCCTAGCAAAATATTATAAAAATTGTCAATTTCCGAAACAAGCTCAATCGATTCGGTCAATAAAAAATATTTTGAAATAAATGGTGTTTAAAAATCAACACGAATCTTGTTCCAATATATAGACGTGAACATGACTAAACGGATCGGTTTCCCCTTTTCCTTTGTACTAGTATAATGCTATTACAGAACTCATGCTTTGTCTAGCTTCTCATTTCCTGGTTTCCTGTCAACTGAGAGAGAATAGCGCGCGTCGACTTATAGTAACACCCCTTAATCTAACCGTGTTAGGATTGCTTTATCATAACCGTCGTGTCTGTTCATCTTATTATCTCTTGGATAACGTTATTTAGTGGAATATCACTAATCTCTGCATGAAGTTAGGAGCAGTTTCAGGAAACTTTTGAAGTAAAACTAGTTTGTATTTATGATATTAATCACTTCATCACGTCACATAGATTTCAATTCGTGAATTTCGGTGAGTGGTTTATGATCACGAAATCATGAATAGGTAATTTGTTTCTTTGAATTTATTACTTACAAATAATAAATTACCAGCGATAGATAAGAAGTTCACCAATCCAAAAGATTCGACAAGGTTCATTAAACACAAAACATTTTGATAAATTCAAATGTAGATTTGTTTGAAGAATAGCAACACTTCATTCCATTCTTAATTGTCTTTGACTTTGAATGATAAAAAAACGTCGGCTTTGTGCTAATGAACTGTAAGTCCTCAATTTATTGTGAAGCTTTTCCACTCTAGAGCGGTTATAAATTACCAACAGAATTCTTTATGACGAATAAGTTTTGACGCAGAATCTTTACTGACGTAGGAACATGACGTGAGTCCATTAGCTAAAATAATAATTATTGTCGACATTATTATACGAAAACATCTTACAACAATATTAAGCAACAGCAAGGCTATTTTGTAAGAAGTCAATTCGAACTCTCGAAGTAAACTCAATCGCATTCTCGCCAGTAATTCGTCAAGATTATGCCCACAACCATGCGGCCAACATGGCGGACCGCGATCTAGTTCGAACTGTCATCTTACAAAATAACAAGACATAACATAACATAACATCACGCCTTTCATCCCCGAAGGCGTACGCCTGACCAGAGGTGCACACAGAAGTAACACCCACTTTTCGCTATTTATGTTATGAGTCCCATGTAATAGGGGGTGAGCCTATTGCCATATACCGGGCACATTTCCAGACTTCGTTCTACTACTGAAATTTTTTTAAAAACCCAGTAATAGTTTACCCGACCCGGGAATCGAACCCAAGACCCCTTGCCCGGTAGTCGCACTTGCGACCACTCGGCCAACGAGGCAGTCGTTACAAAATACTCGGTAGTATAGGTAAATATGTAGATATGCATTTGTATGTAAACATCTTGTTCAGAGTAGATACTGTATATACTACATTCGTTTCACATATTATTAAATCAAATGAGACACCTGAGAACATAAATAATGTAGTAATGAGATTCGGAAGATGTTTAACTTTGCAAACTTCTCTAGAAATTTCAATCTCAGGGTTTAGCGTTGATATGTAGGTATGTACTTATTAGTTTATTTCAATATACTCGGGATACGTGATATAATAATTTAATGCTTTTAATAAGTTAGAGATATATGATTTATATAATGATTAATTTATTTTACCTACGGTATAGAAATTGTTTATGAATTTGCTCGCGTGAAAAAGCTACAGCTCAGCAGTTTAGAAAACCAAAACTAACAAATTCATTTTGAAGCTTGCACCATCGCTT